CTAATCAGTTGAGCCACCCAGGTGCCCCCTGGACGTTTCCACTCAGTCGTTTTCCATCCACTGGCCCCCTCCCTGCTCTTTGGCTATAAATCTCCACTCGCCTCCCCCACCCCTTATTGTGTTCAGAGTTGAGCCTGATTTCCCTCCCCTATTGCAAAACCCCCACTGCAGTAGTCTCTCTTGAATTAAGTCTTCCTTACCATCTTTAACAAGTACCATGATTACTTTTTTTTTTAACAGTGCTCAATGTGAGTTATTGAATGAATGAATATATAACTATATTGATATATGGCTGTTGAAGATGATAGAGTCAATGAATGCTGATTCAATGAATGATACAGACTGCTATGGACAGACCCTGGTAAATAAGTGAAGGATCAGTACAGATGAATAAAAACACCTAGTGATGGCTCCAAATAGACCATAACACAGACACATTAAATGGGTGCATATTAAATCACCTGAAAGCTTTTCCAAACTCCCCCTGCCCGAGCCTCATGCATGCTAAGAGAACCAGTCTGGGAGTGAGACTGGGGTCTGGATTTTGAACAAAACCATAGATGACTGAGCTCACCCTGCAGAGACAGGCTGGGGAGGTGATGGGGACCTGGGGTTAGTATATGGCGATGAACAAGCCAGGCATCCAAAAGGATGGAGCCAGGGAGGAGACAGCACCAGAAACAGAGCTCTCCACTGCATTAAAAGATGAAGCCTAGAGGTAGAAAGCAAGGAGAGGCAGAGACAGGTAATAAGCCCTCTTCTGTGTCCCGTGAAAAGAAGGATGTAACTGTAGGCCATCCCCCAGGCGCTGTGAGGAGGGAGGTTCATGATCAGCAAGTGTCCATGCCCCAAGGGCAGCCCATTCCTCTACCTTGGCAGAACCCAAGCCTCCCCCACCTCTCCTCCCTCCCTCATAACCCCTTCGCAAACCCTCACCCAACTTTGGTGAACCAGAAGGCTTTTGGTTAACAACCAGAGGAGCCCACAGCTAGCTTGTCCCCTGGCTCAGGTCCAAGCTGAGGGCAAAGTACAGGCTAACAGCAACCCCCACTGCCAGGTGGAATATGTGTGACATTCCACAGACACTCCTGGCTACCCAAGAACAAAGGAAAGGGGTTTAAGTGCTTGCCATGGTAATGTGGGAAACTAAGGCAAATAAAAATTAAATTCCCTCGCTGCCTATAGCCCATTGACAAGTCCTTGAAACCGGCAGAGTGACCTCCCTCTAGGAGTTCAGGTACTTCGATGATGACATTTTGCCCAGGGGCAAAAGAGAATCTTAGTTTAACATTATCCCAACCTCACAGATCCTGTAAGCCTACGTTAACATATAACAATTCCTTTGGCAACTTCCTGTGTCTCATCTCCCCTAAGATATATGTAGGCAATCATGCTCCAAGCTTAGGGCCGCCTGATATACATCTGAAGGGTCTCATGCCTGAGGTTTTAATAAAGGGTAATGAATGGCCTTTTCCTAGCAACAGCTCTCCCTTCAAGGTCCTGGAAACCTTTCTTCTAAAATTCCTTAGAGAATTACTCTATCCTTAATCCCCTCCCAACCTGAGAGTTACCCCTCATGACCCCAGTGCAGCTCTTCTGCCCACGGGTCCTGTCCCTATGCTTTAATAAAATCCCTTTTTTGCACCAAAGATGTCTTCAAGAATTCTTTCTTGGCCGTCGGCTCTGGACCATCCCACCATCACCCCAAAACTTCATCACTCCGTGCCACCAAGGTCAGGGGCAGAGGAAGGGGACTAGAAAGGTCAAGGTGGTGGTGGTGGTGGTGGGGTGGGCTGCAT